AAAAGTGAAAAAAACAAAGTACCAAAAAAAACATCAACTACTAATCAAGTCAGACAGTATTGGAAAAATATAAATACACCGCGAGTTGAAATTGGAGATTAATTAATAAAATAAAACGAGCTCTTTTATGCGTGATCGTCTTATTTTTACTTCTTCTCAATATACTCCTCGTTTCAATAGAAGTGTTTTCTGTCCTTTTCTAACCAAGGATCGACCATATCCCGTTCCTTTCACTGCGCTCACGTATTATTTCTCTCTCTCTGTTTCTCTTTCCTTCTCTCTGTCTGGACTCGCTTCGAGCACAAGCCGAGCGTCATCTTTCTCACTCACATACTCTCTCGATCTCCTTCGTTTCGTTTCTTTTTTCTTTTTTTTTGTCTCATTTAGCACGTGATCAACCACGTGTTGCTGTCCCACTCTATGGAAAAGCAAGAGATCGAAACGGCATGCGCCGCGCATGCGTCAGCTACCGTGCGCTGCTCGTGCTGCGCGCGCGCTCCCAAGAAACCCCGTTGTACGTTCGTTCTCAAACGACTTTTTCCACTGTTTTGTATTCTGCGCATGTGCGTGTGTCATACACGTGCACGACCATTTCTACTTCGAGTCAGACAAGACCAGGTAGCCGGGCACGATTTCAACGCTTGCTTACACATTCATATATATATAAAATTGTGTGTATGTGTTCCTACATACATTTATGAGCATGTATCGTAATTTTTTTTCTAATTCAAAAATTATGAATTATTATTTATTCAAAAATTGTACGAAATTGTAATTTTTTAATAATTTTATTCTAGTAATAAATTTTTAAATTTTAGAAAAAAAAGTTTTCCCTCCTTTTTTTAATGCAGTTTACCTACTTAATATAAAATTAAACTAAAATTATTTATTTTATTAACAAATAAAAAAGATTAATTAAAATAAAATTTTACTACACCTCTATAGATAAGATATATTTGTCTCACGAGATTTATTTTTTATTTTATTTATTATTAATTTTTTATAGTTAATTTAAACAAACTTCTATTAACTGTTAAAGGCCTCAAAATATTTATTATCTAAATTTTATTTGGTTTAGATAAAAAATTAGCTTTGCGCTAAATAAAATTTTATTTATGGTAAATAAAATTTTTTATTTAAGACAAATAAAATGCTATTAGGCTCTGAGGCAATTATATTTTTATCTAAGTCAAATAAATTTTATATATGTTTACGCAAATAAAAAAATTTTCTGAATTATAAATTTTCAATAATCCAGTTGTACAATTTTTAAAAAAAAATTATTTGAAGTCGAAATTAAAAAAAAAGATTTATCTGTAACAGCGAAAGAGTTTTAATTTATAAAATATATAGCAAAGTTTTAATTGTTCTTTTATTTATTTTAATTTTTGTTCTTTCACTATATTCTAATGAAATCTTTCGCTGTTCAACATGAAATTTTTTCTCGTCTCAAAATTTAGTAAAATTTATTTTAACTAATAGTTTTATTTTGATAAATTTTCTTAATTTAATCTAAAATTTTTTTAATTATCGTTCTGTCAAAAAGTGGTGTGGTCACTTTCTATAAAAAAAAAATTTTTTCTTTTTTCTATATTTTTTCTATTTTTCTTTTCCAATATTTTTTTCTATTTTGATACATTTTTGTCTATAATTGTTCTATGTTTCTTTTTCTAAATTTTTTTCTGATAAACTTATCTACATTCGACGTGAAAAAAATTCCCCCTGCATAGAAAAAAAATCAATTTTCGCAGATGCATATTCATCGCAATTTTCACGCAACAATTGATCCTTTTCTTGAGTTGCGATCATTTTGTGGAAAAAAAAGAAGAAAAGCGTCGAGGCATAAATTTCTATAATCGACATTTGTGTGTTTGTATAGACGCTCAACCTTCTCCTGGCTACTAAAGTTACTCAGCTTTTTATCCCCTTTTTTTCGCTCCACATGTGTAGGTGTGTATGTGTATATGTGAACAGCATAAGAGGGGGGGCGAAAAGGGTGTTTCTTTTTAAAAAGTTGCCTATATACCTGTGCATTGGAAAACGTATAAGCTTGTGTCCTGCACGCTTCTAAAGTAACGCGTCGCGAGCAGCGCATGCGCCACCGTCAGCTATATAAGTCGATGGCTTTCATCCCATTCCGCATTCAATCACACCCACTCGAAACGTGCGCTTCACGTGAAAAAAAAAGAACCAGTTTATTCTTTTTTTTTTTAAACTCTCCTCGTGCTACGATCGCACGTGCAATTCTCTCCCTCCTTCAACTCTCTTTCGCAACAAACCAGTGTCCGGTTATTTGACCATCAGTAACTGTGATTCGAAAAAAAGTGATTTTTTTTCTCAAGAAATTCTTTTTTTTAAACAATGTTGGGAGTGACAAGTAAATTGTCAGCGAAGAAATTTGTCAAAAAGTCATTGTTGAGGGCACATTGTTTTTTGGAAGAGAGAAAAATGGCAAGAGCGAGAAGAAGAAGAGGCAATAAGAAAATGATCTTCAATTTGGAAGATGTTTGGAAGTTTGACAATGAAAATTTTGAAAATGAATTGAGGGAATTGTCAATGATTCCCTGTCAATAATAGTTTCAAAATAAATTTTTTGATGCAATCAACAAATTTTGATCGAATTTTATGATCAAAAGAAAGAATTGTCATCAAATTATCATCGATTTTACAACAACGATTCGATGAAGATGGGAGGCTGACGAAAGACTGACAATCATCACTTGGAGGAATATGAAATCATTCATATATAACGATTCCAGTTTCATGATGATGACGACCAACTGTCAACTTTTTTTCTAAAAATATTGGATGCTGTTTCCTGACGATGATCATCATTGTAACATTCAACAATTCCTGTTCAATTTTTCATCAGGGACAACAATTCTATCATCGAGAAAACATCATCATCACAACAAGATCTGATTTTCAGTAAGAATTCACAATTATTATATAATCAAATCACTCAAATGTTTGCTTTTTTTCTGCACAATTTTTTCTTTTTTGAAAAATTTTTTTTTTAACTTGTACTTTTTAAGATGCCCGATAACTATTCTGGTTAAGAGCTTTAAGTTTAGATTATAATTTCCATTTTTTGATCTCGTATTTTAATTCTATTTTATAGTTCGTTTATTTTTAATTTAGTTCGTGGCATTTAAGTAATTATTATTAAGTTACACTACGATTTTTAAATATTGGTTTCACTATTTTTTTTCTTGGGAAAAAAAGTGATGACTTCTTTTTTTTTGGAAAAACAAAAAAATTTTTTGTTTTTTCTTTAAAAAAAGGCAACACTTTTTTTGAGAAAGAGAGAATTTGACTGCAAATTGTGATATTATTTAGAAGAATTTAGAAATAATTTGTATTCGAACAATATATTGTTCGAAGAATAGGCCGCCCAGTGCATATTTTTTAAATATGAATTTCTGTGATCGACCATCAGATATATTTTTTGTTTTGGGATAAAAACAAATTTTATACAAATGTTGTTTTTTTAATAGTTTTTTTTGTTGCAATTTTTGAAACTGTGATCTCAAATTTTTGTGTTTTAAATTTTTATTTGTTTTCCAATTTGTCTTCCCAATTTGTTAATTTCATTTGATTTCATTTGAATACTATTAAGTTTTATTAAAATATATTAAAAATTTTTTGTTTCTAAATTTTATATTTCAAGTTTTCTTCACGTTACTTGTTTTTGTTTTGGCATTAAGTTTTATTATAAAAATTTTATAATTGTTTTTACATTAATCATTTAAAAAATTGTTGTTTCAAAATTAAGTTTGGTTTTGATTTTTCTTTTTTGAAATTAAGTTTTATTATAAAGAAATTTTACATTCATTGTTTCATTATTAAGTTTGATTTTGTTAATGTTTTTTGGCTTTAACTTTAAGTTGTTCAAATTTTAAATAAATTTGTTTTGTTATTTTTTCTAAATTTGCGTTTTTGTTTTCATAAATTGTTAATTATTTGTGTTGAAAATAAAATTCTAATTTGTTTTCCGTTGGTTCAATTTGTTATGAAAAAATATTGTTATTGTTAATATTGTTATGTTTTTTACAAAAAAAATTTATGTATGTTAATTGTTATACAAATAATGTAAAACTGTGATCTCAAAAAAATTGTTATAGGTTGTACATCGAAAAGAATATTTTTCGATTTGCATTGTGATCTCATAAAAACTGTGATATTTGTTAAAATATTATTACAGATCAGCATATATTGCAATACATTTCATTTTTAAAATAATTTTCATAATTTTTATAAATACAATATCAAATTTGATAACTTTCATAAAAAAAACAAAAAAAAATTATATTAACAAATAAACAATAATAAAATTACAAAACTATGCTGGTCTGTAGCTCTAAAACTGTGATAAAGACATTATTGTCAACGATGCTTTAATTTGAAAAATAATTATTGTTATATTGTTATATCGACGTCTTCCAATATAGGATAATCAGGGATTTAAATGCAATATTAGAATTAATTTTGTGAAACCAGAAAAAAACCTGATAAAAATCGTAGTGTTAGACAATAAGAAAAAAAAATAAATAAAAAAAATAAAAAAAATTGTAAGTTAGATTTTAGAAATACAGAAGCTCTAGCGATGCTTTGTGATAAATAGATAATTGATAAGACGAACAGAATTTGATTACTGTAATCATTCTGCTCGATAATATTATTAGAAAAAAAAATTGTAACCGAAATTAGTTTTATCAAAATTAATTCACCATCTTACAATAATTATGTAATACTAAGCATTATATAATTTTTCACACTATTTTAATTTTCACATTATTTGCACCGTGATTAATTTTTAGTACCAGTGTTTTCTAAAAAAATTGGACAGCATGATCCAATTTTTTATTTTATATTATATAAATATAGATATATATTGTGTGAACCTTATTTTATCGTCTTGATCACCACTTATTCTTATTATATTATTATTACTATTATTATTAATAAATTGTGTGTTTTTTGATAAATAAATGTCTTACCTTTTTATTTACGATCCTATCCCCAAAATTCTGTAACAAATAAACATTTTTTTTTATTAATTATATGTTATTTATAAAAAAAATAAATATTTTTTTACATTTTGATTATAATTAATTGACGTGAAAAATAATGGAAAATATATACAATGGCCCATTTTTTCACGATTAAATGAAAATTTACCAAAAACATTTTTTTTATGATATAACAATAATAAATCAATATTCTAATTAATAACATTAGAATACTTTGTATATTACACAATGGAGAAAATAAAATCTATCTGTCTAAAAAAATAAAAAATAACAGATTAATAAAAATATATTAGAATTAAAATAATAAGGTATAATTAATAAATTTTTATAAGTATAATTTTATTTAATGTTGTAATTTTTCAAATGATTAATTGAACTAATTCGATTAACTGAATTAATAAACTTATTCTTTGTTTTTCAATAAATAATTAAAATTTTAATCTATTTAAAAAAAAGAATAATTTAAATTTGTTTTTTAATTTTAAAAGAACAAAATATTACAATTTCTATGATATAAATAAATAAATAAAATTATATGAATGAGAAAATCATAATAAAAATAATTAATTTAATTAGTAATATTAAAAAATTATTATAAATGAAATTCTTCTAATTTAAAGTCTAAAGGCTTAATTTGTTAATTAATATTTAAAAATTAATATTGAAGTAAAAAAAGTAACAAAAGTTAATTTAAAAATTTGTTTACTTTTATAAAAATAGTAATTAAGGGTAATACTAATCAAGGGAATATTTTTTTTTAGGATTTTTACCCCATCTAGGAACCGATTTTTTAACCCTCCTAAGCAATAGCTTCGAAGTTTTCCCAATAGATGGCGCCATTCTAATCTGAACATAGAATTTAAAAAAAAAATTTGTAACAGAATAGAGAAATAATTTTTTTAACTTTTAACTTATTTAAAATTCTAATTTTATATAACAATGCTGAAACTCAAAAAAATATTTAGTTTACTATTAATTAAAATGATGCAAATATTATTTTCTTAAATAAATTTTATCCTTTTTGTTGTGTTACAAAAAAAATTGTTGATTGACGAAAAATAATTCGATCCGAGACAATCGAATTATTTTCCTAATTGCCTAAATAATTTTTTTTGTCTAAATAATGTAATTTTTTTCTCAACCAAACGATATTTTATTTGCAAATCTTTTTTCTTACACCGATTTTTTTTTATCCAAATTCCAATGTGAAAGGGATATTATTGAGGGAGTGATTTTTCTATTTTTTTTTTTTTAACAGAGCGTCAAATATTTGACAATATTTTCGAAACGTTTCGAAAACGTAACCCAATACCCGCCACTTTGGTCGAAGATTAGGGGGACGAGCCAAACGTTCATATTGGAAGAAGAATTCCTTTTGTGTGGTATTAGATCTTTTCGAGCTAGGATATATATTTTCAATAGAGTGCCTAAGGTGGTGTCATATTGCACATTCTCAGATCAGAAAAAAAATAGAAAAACGCTTCTTGCGTTTTGAGATGATAGAAATTAGAGAGAGAAATTGTGTGTGCGGATCAGTCGACTGTATAAGTTTTTTCAATCCGCGAACATTAGACCGATAGTTATCTAAATGGAAAAACTGTATTCAATCAAAAAAAAAAAAAAAAAAAAAAATGGTGCATAATAAAAAAGTTTCAGGTAGTTATGGCTGCCCATATAATCATGGTTAATGTTAGTAATCTGATCCTTGAGCATCAATTTTTTTTCACATTCATCCTCGAAATGAAACTGTCAATTTTTTCTAAGTAAAAAAAAAAACAGATTTTTTTTGCTCGCTGATTATATCCCTTTTTTTTAATCTAATTTTTACATTTTTAAAACAAAAAAAATATTACCCAACAATTACAACACAACATTTATAACATAGAATAATAAAATTACAACACCCAGTGGGAAATTTATACCATTGGCAAAAAAAATTATTTATTCGAATACAGTTTAATTGATTAAAATAAAAATTAATTGGTCCAAATAAATATTTATTTGATACCAGCCAAGTAATTATTTGAATCAAATAAATTTTTTTCTTCAGTGTAGATTAAATAACTAAATTTTGTGCAAATTACTAATTAAATAATTAAATACCTCAATAAAACATAATAATTAAATACTTAATGAAAAAAAATAATAATTAATAAAACATTTAAAGTGTGTAAATAATATTTATATTACACTTTAAAACTGGAATTTAATAAAAAAAAAGGGGGGAAAAAATTTTACACAGGTGTTAAAATGGGTTGACCGTCTTAATATAACCAATTAAGTAAGATTTCAATGACTCCCTGTTTATACACTGAAAAGCTTAATTCTCGGCGTGTATCATAAAAAGTCAATATCTTTAAAAGACCTAAAATAATACGGTCGTGAATTCAATTAGCGATGAAACGTCTTAAATTGTTTGGAGTATCACACACATACACACATATTATGATTAAATAACTTTCATATATATGTCGATTATTATACTTTCCATAAAGTAAGGAACAACATTTTTTCATTTTAACCTTAATCGTATAAATATATAAATATATATAATGAAAGATAACATCTTTGTGGAATCCGTAACGAAATTTTGGGGCCAAAAATTTAAAAAAAAAAATATATATATATATATTTTAAATTGCCACTGATGATGATCGATCCAAGACTTCGTATATAATAATAATTTGTAGCTCCAAGGAGAATTCTTTTTTAATTTTAATATTATACACAGCTGAGGTTTTAAAAGGAAAGTGGGATAAACTTTCAAAGATATATATATTATATATGCTTACTTTGTGAAATTCGATAATATGCAATTTCACCTTTATTTCGAGGGATTGAAATAAGTATAATAATTAAAATATAAATATATAAAAAAATTAATTTTTAATAAAAAAAATCTTAAATAAATATAATTAAAACATTTTTTTTTCACTAGAATAGAAAAAATTCAAATTATTCTCAATATTAGAGTGTATTTCCTCTCTCTTTCTACCTCAATAACTACTGTTTAAAATTTGCCAAAATTTCTATAAGAAAAAAAAATGAAACGAATTATATACAAAATTGCCACTGATTTTTTAAGAAGAAAAACTCGAAAAATGAATTGAAAAAAAATATTTCTTTAACTGAAGAAAACTATTTTATTGGTTCAAAGAAATTGGCGCCTTTAAAAGAAACTTTTTCACCGACTTTTGCTACTTGCTCTCTCTCTTCTATACAAGAATAACTATAATAATAAAACCCATTTAACTAAACTTCTTGGAAAAAAGAAAAGAAGCGAAGAGAATATTTTTTTGCGCAAATGATGGAACACAAAACGTCAAATTCAGGAATATAGGTAGTATTTATATTGTTAAGAAGAAGAAGAAGAAGTGTGGTGGCGATTCTCTTCACTTTTCACTTTTTGACATATAATACGAATGAATGCATTTAAACTATTTTAAACACTCTTGATATGATGGCACCTAAGGTTCGAGTTCTTAAAGAAAACCTCTCTGCTTTTGTCATACATATATAGTATTATGGAGTGATTTTCAAGTTATTTCGACTTGTTCCATACAATGGGCCAATATAGACAGACCTCATCCATTGTATATGTGATCTTTTCTTTATGACATTGGCGCAGCATTCACACTTCAAAAAGTCAAAAAACTAATAAAATCAAATAAATAACACATAATTTGTTCAATATTTTTAGTCGTTAAATTTTTAAATAGCACTAATATAAATTTTATTATTTTTATATTTAAAATTTATTATTTATTAATGATGAATTATAAAAAAAATAAAGTTTGCTTCTATTCAATTTGTTTATTAATTTTTATAATAATTTTTTTATTATTAATTATTTATTATATTGTTATTTTATTATTTATTACTAATTATTATTTTAATATAAATTATAAATTATAAAAAAATAAAAATTTAATCATACTTAGTAATAAAAAAAAATTAAAATAAAATAAATACTACATCGCAAAAAAAAAATTTATTTGTTTCAAATATTACGTTACTTGACTATTATAAAATAAAAAATTGTTTTTGAGCGTATGTTTTTTTAACCAAGAATAAACAAAAATTTTGAACAACTTTGAAAATTATTCTACGCCAATGAAATTTGAAACCACTTTGGAAGTCGACTAAAGTCCTTCGTCATAGAACACACACACACACTCTCAGGACAATAACATACGAGGGACAAATTTCTGAAAAATGTACCTTTTCGACTCCTAAAAGGGACAATTATTGTATTATTTGACGCCATTTAGGCTCGAAGAAGGAGATTTTAAGAACGCGCCTTCACGGCTCAAATCACAAATTCAAAAGAGAAACTCGCGAGCGCGCGCGGGTGAAATGATTTTTTTTTTTCTTTTTTCGAGGAGAGGCGGAGGGAAAAAAAAGGTTTTTTTCCTTTTTATTATTATTAACTGACTTGACGATGATTCGCCAACGATGAGTGTTATTCTTAACCGTAGAGAGATGAAAAATATTTTCGAAATAAAAGGATCCTTATATGAACTGTGAATAAAATCGAATATTCTCCCGTGCTACCAGGTGATGTCAAAGGAAGCTTATTTAGCTTCCATAATAGACATATTAAGTCAAATTTGAAAACGTTGAAAAAAAAAATAATTCCTGATTATTGTTGTTCAGTCAAGTGGCAGGTGAGAAAACTTTGCGTTTTTTTTTTTTTTGAAAATTTTAGCAGGACTGATTCGATTTATTCAATGAAGATCGTAAAGTATCTACTTGACTAAATTTCAATAGAGTACTGAAGAAAATTCTTCGGCAATTTAGCAGAGTCACTTTTGAGATTTGATGAGTTCCAAATAATATATTTATTTTCTTTTTCAAATCGAAAATCTTTGGAATTTATTAAAAAGCGGTTTTAAAAAATACTTTTCAAGTGATTGAATTCTTTTACTAGAGTAATAAAACCTCAGTAAAGAATCTATTTATAGAAGAAAATGGAGAAAATTTTTTATTATACCGAA